TTTTTTTAATTTGTTTGTTTTTTTCTTTTTTTTTTTTTTTTTTTTTTTTCTGTTCTTTCATTGCTGTCTGGGTTCCCTTTGGAGAGATACCCCCTCAGTTTTGGTACCAGGATAGGAAGTAACAAAAAAAAAAAGGAAACCGCTTGGCAGACGCTCTAACACTCCTATATATGTTTTTGGCTTGAGTTCCACTTAAATAACCCATCACACTTCTGCTTTAACCCCTTCATGACTGAGGCCCTTTTTTCATTTTTTGCACCCATGTTATATTCCACATTTTAGGCCTGAAAATGACGTAAAACCCCCCAACATTATATCTTTTCTGAATGCCAAGACCCTATAGAATAAAATGGTGGTAGTTGAAAATTTTTATGTTGCGCAATATTAGCGCAACTCCTTATTAAACCCCAAAATTTAGTGACAAATTTAATTAAATGCCCCAAAACACAACAAATTACCCATTTTTTTAATGAAATATAAAAGATGAGGTTACAACGAGTAAAACGATACCCAACATGCCCAGTTTACAGATTGCGTGCGACCGTGAAACGGCGAAAAACTGCAGTACCCCAAAAAGTCAATAAAAGACACTTTAAAAGCCCCCACAGGTCATCAATTTAGAGATACCCCAAAATACTGGCCCTAGAATTATTGCTCTCACTCCGGCGTGCGCGGCGATACCCAACATGTGTAGCGCGTTCGTCGTTTTCATGCGTAGGCGCACCCGACGAGTGTTTACGTGGCGACGCGCGTGCTCGCGGGGGCGGGGTACTTTTAAAATTTTTTTTTTATTATTATTAGATTTATTTTATTTCATTTTAATTTTAAAAACTGTTTTTTTTTTTTTTTTTACTTTACTTTGACTGCTATCACATGGGGGGGCTTGCAAGCCCCCCCATGTAATAGCAGATGGTGGTGACAGGTCCTCTTTAAGGTGATGCTGGGGGTCCAAAAGACCCTCAGTGTCACCTTTACACTGGAAATAAGCTATTGAAGTGCAGATCGCACTTCAATAGCTTATAGCTGGGCTGCAGGAGCCCAGAACTGACAGCCCAGGGACCGGAAGTGATGCAATCTGCATCGCTCCCGGTCCCATAGAACGGGGAGGGGATCGATGAACGGAAGTTCGTCGACCTCCTCCCCAGCTCCCCGCGGACACAAAGATCGCCGGTCCCGGGCCCGTAGGAGGGGCAACGGAGCCCGGGAAGCACGGCGGGGGTGTCCGGCGGGGGGGGCGGCCCCTTCTTCGGGACGCAGAAGCGATCTGGCGACAGGTAAGTCGCCAGGATCGCTTCTGTTGTAAAGCCGACAGTCGGCTCTACAAGTTTAAACAGAGTCCCGGTGGCAAAAGTCGCCTGGAGTCTGTTTAAACAGCCCCGATGCTGGCGACGTACACTGTACGTCGTCGGTCACTAAGGGGTTAAATCATAATGTACCCTGCATGTAACTGCAACTGATTGCCCACTTTACTAGCTAGTTTTTTATTTTACTGTATGTATGCATAGAAGAATGTGTGAGTATCACAAATGTGCTAAACATAGAATTTTTTCACGCAACTGAATGAGATTTCATGTGGGAGTTGACTAGTTTGTGCGTGTATCTGTGTCCTATACATCGGAAGTTCTTTCTCATATTTTTGCAAAGAGAAAGTTGGCATGTTTGATGTTCTAAAAATAGTTATAAATAATTGGTTAAAATATATTCAATTTATCCACCATATTGATGAAACATCCATACTTCGAAGTAGAGCTGCAGCTAACAATTATTTTCAAAATCGATTAGTTAGCCGATTTATTAAGTTCGATTAATCGGATAAAAAAAAATTAAAAAAATGGCTCCAGTGATGGACTACTAGTTTGTATTGAGATTGTAGTCCATCACAGAAGCAAACTTGGAGCGGTGGAAGAAAAAAAGAAAAACAAAAAGTGTGGTGTGCAATATAGTGAAATGAAAAGTGTAAAATTATACAGCAATGAATGCAGAACGGCACCGGCTATAGAGGACTACAAAACCCAGCAATACATTATACAGCTCAATGTGGAATACCCCCAGCTATAGAGGACTTACAACACCCAGCAATGGCACTCTTACCTAACTGTTCTTCCAGCAACTTGTTTCTGAGATCGGGTCTGTCTATCGGCGGCTGTCATCTGCCCACACCTGCTCCTCCCTACTTCTTCTCCCTGTGTCCTTGTGCTGATCATGGATTGGGCGGGCGGTGAGCGTAAGGCGGGGAGGAGGTGTGGCGCGCAGCTGTGTGGAGCCGTGAACAGGGCCAACCAATCGGAAGCCGATTAATCGATGATTGAAAAAGTTGACAACTTTTTCAATCATCGATTATAATCGATTATGTCGATTTTAGTTGTTGAAGCCCTAGTTTGAAGTCATGTTTGTAGTGGGTTTTGATCCGGCTTTTTAATACACTTTAAGCCCATTCCCAATAGCTATGACTCAAATTCAGTTTTTAAATGATCAGCCCACCCAAAACTGGTGTCTCTTTTTAGTATATGTTGGAGAGTTAAAGCACAGCAATTTTTATTTTTTGATTGAGTAGAAAAGAGTTGGAAGCTGTCGGGTTCTGGATGCGGCCTTTGTCGTCTTTGGGGTGATTTAGACTTATTTTCTTTGGTCTGAAGTTAGGGGAAGTGTACCTACATAGACAGTAATTAAAACTCAGATGTTGCTAACCTTTTCCCAATATATCTAAAATGAAGAAAGTTTTGGTTGGGCTTCTAAATTAGTATTGACTTCAATATGGATAAGTCGAGTGGTCTGTTGGCGCCTCTGTTGTAGTAGGACACATAGGACTCCAATGTAGTAGGGTTCTCTACAGAGAATGATTAGTATTCCAGATCGAACAATGTCACTGCCCCATGTCAAATTCAGAGAGTGCCTAGTATTCATTGATAAAACTACTAGGTGTTCATGCATATGAAATTTGCCTAAAAAAATTATATA